AAACTGTTAACTATCTCAATCTCTTCACCATCCATACTGATGCTGCCAATTGGCCCAGTGGTTATGATATTGTTCTTAAAACTATATAGGAAGATCCTTGTTGTAGAACAAGTATGGGGGGGGGGGAGAGGAGTAGAGAGTTGAGGATGGCAGTGGTGGGAGATGGGATGGTTAATTATAGGGTCACACAATTTGATGGACAGACTGAGGGGTGAGTGAAGCAAATGGGAAAGATCTCCTATGAAAAGAATGCACACAAACTTTGTAAGTAAACCATTATCTATCTACCTATCTATCTATCTTAGTGGCCTAGTGGCAAGAAGCGGCACTGCAATCCTGAAGGCACGTAGTTCGAAGCCACCAGCTGGTCCATGGGAGAAGGATGGACAGACTCCTCCCATGTCATTAACTGCCTCTGAAAACCTGTCGGAGGGTCAGCTATCGGTCAGTTCTGACTCTATGGTATACAACAACAAACAACTATGTATATTGTTTTTGTTGTTGATTGCCTTTGAGTCAAGCACAACTTGGAGCAACCCTATGAACAAAAGACCTGAAGCCTCTCTACAACTATCAGCATTTATTAAAGTTCTTAGAGTTTCTGGAGGCATACACATACACACATGCAGATGACACAACCCTGTTTGCTGAACTGAGGAAGACCTGAAGCACTTGCTGCAGAAGGTCAAGGACTACAGTCTTCTGTATGGATTGAAGCTCAATATCAAGAAAATAAAGATTCTCACCACTGGATCAATTAGCAGCATCGTGATGGATGGTGAAGAGATTAAGATTGTTAACAGCTTTAGTTTGCTCAACTCCACCGTCAACACTCTTGGCACCAGCAGCCAGGAAAATTAAGACATACTGCATTGGGAAAGTCTGCTTTCAGAGACCTCTCCAAAGTACTGAAGAGCAGTGATGTCAGTCAGAAGACTATAGTGCCCCTGGTCTTTGCAATCACTTGTTAATGCATCAGAGAGTTGGACAATGACTAGGGAGGACAGAAGGAGAATTGATGCCCCTGAGCTGTGGTGTTGGAGAAGAGTATTGAATATACCTTGGACTGCTAAGAGAACAAACAGGTTCGTCCTGGAGAGGGTTAAACCACTCTGCTTCTTGGAGGCAAGGAGTCTAAGCTTTGTCTGACATACTTTGGTCATGTTGCACGGAGAGACCAGTCCTTGGAGAGGGACATGCTTGGGAGGGTCGAGGGACAGCGCAGGAGAGGAAGCCCCTCTGTGAGGTGGATTGATTCAGTGACTGGGATAATAGAGGTAGGTGTGTCAGAGACAGTGAGATAGGCACAGGATAGAGCAGGGTTTAGGGCTGTTGTACATAGGGCCTCTATGAGTCACAGGTGACTCAACAGCACATAACAACAACAGCAACAAATCTATTAATATTTGCGCTTTTTTTAAAATCTCTGCCTAGATAAAACTCTTCCAAGTTTCTTCTAAACAGGTATTTGTGGATAAGAGAAAGGCTTAAATTACCTGCATGCTTCATCATGGTTTTGTGAACATAGACAGCCTACATAGATTCAATATTTAATTCACTCAAATAGCAATAAGTACATTTACAACATTCTTATTTGTTACAGGGTAGCCCTGGGGGTGTAGTCTCTAGGGAGCTGTGTTTGTTACCCAAAGTTTATGTCTCTCTGGCAGTGTGAAGCCATCAGTTAGAGGATGATGAGAGATAGCCTCCTTTGTGATTTACAGCTTCTGATACCTTTTAGAAGGTCAGCTATGTGTTGGTTCCAACTTGATAGCAATGAGTTGAGTTATAGAAAGATGGTTACATAAATGGCACTTGCTTTGAAAGAACCTTATTGTTGGTAATGTGTATTGTCAAGACACTGTCCAAATACGATTATAGTCAGAGAAACAATGTGTAGGATTTATTATACGTTTCTGTGGGGACAAAATTCAACACACACTGATGAAGACAAATTACCCGGATTAAGAGGGACAGTTTTGGAAGGTTTTAATCCAAAGTGACACTAGCAGTTTTGTTTCACATATAGATGTTGAGGATAACTTTCAAAACAGGATGAGATGGGAGATGAAGTTAAAAAGAGGCAAGCAGTGACAAAGCCTGAAAAAGAAACTCTATGGACTATTATAATGCTGAGCTATTTGGGTAACATATTTTAAAAAAATATTAGTTGATTTATATATTTCCACTTTGCTTTTTAAATTATAACTCTAGATCTTGAAGATAATAAAGGAACTTTAAAAAGGCACAGAGAAAGTAGGAGTCTAAATAATTAGTGAGAGTTAACTAGATGAATGAATCAGTTGGCAATTCTATAAATTTGAGGGAGAGGTATTAGCTCTCAAAAAAGCTCAAAGGCAAAGGTGAGGAGGCCAGCATAATGCATTTCCATCAAGGTAACATCAATGTAAGATTGTCAG